TGGCCAGTGTTTGTAGCCTTGAGACAAGAGGCTCACTGGGATAAAAGCCAAGAGAATTACTGCTATTGACCTTGACATTATAGAGCCATTAGACAAAGTTTCAAACATTTTTTGTGCAAGAACAAAAAAACAGATTACTAACTGTCTCAGTTACTATTAATCACATTTCACTTAAAGATGTTCCCAACTGGTACATCAACTCCAACATCTTCTCAGCATACTCTCCCTATCTAGTGTCTATCAGTGTTCTATATGGGAAAATATGTTAAAAATCATTAAAGGGGACAGTGTTATAGCATAGCATGTTAAGCCGCCACTTATAACATCACCTTCTATTAGAGTGCTGGTTCGAGTCCTGGCTGCTCTTCTTCTGATCCAGCACCTGGGAAACCAGCAGAAGATGGCCCTGGTGTTGGGCCCCTGCCATCCATGTAGGAGACCTGGTTGGGGTTTCAGGCCCCTAGTTTCTGCCTGGCCCAGACCACGCCATTGCAATGGTTTGGGGAGTGAACTGGTAGATGGGAAATCTCTCTCCCTGTCTCTCTCCTTCTCCCCCTCTCCCTCTCTTTCTCTTGCTATCACTCAGCCTTTCAAATAAATATTTTAAAAATTATTAAAAGGCAACCATTTATTCCCCTTGGATCCCAAGTTTTTCTTCCTTTAATCAATTTAAAGCATTCAGAAATTCCCTGAATTGTATTTTGTATTATGCTCTTGGATTTTACTAAAGATTACTGCAGTGATGTGCTTCCCAGGTTCCCCTTCCTAGTGTGAGCCTCTAATTTCCCTAGCCACTGAGGGTATTGACTGTCATCTGTTTAAGATAAGCGCTTCTCATAAATTGCCCTTGGCCTAAAGGAAGTCTCACCTGAGGTTACAACCCTTCCCATGGGAAGCCTGCCTCAAATAGCAGGCCAATGCAGTGTATAAAAATCTGACACTTTGACCTTGATTTGGGATGATTTAAGAGCCACCGCCAGCTCTTAGAAGCCTCCATTGAATTAGCTAAGGCCTTTGTTGATATTGCACTGCAGTTTGATTTTCCCCTTCCCGTCCACTCCTTGTACGAGTCCTCAGCGCCTCACTCATTCACAGGTGGCATTGCTGGGAGCACTCCACAGTAAATGTGCTGCATGCAATTCTCCATCCCTGAGTCTGTTTCCTGGGGAACGTGACTCAAGTCAGTTGGTATAGGGAGTGATTGAAGAAATAGACTCTAAAGGGGAATTTGGAGCTACATTGTCCACTGGTCAGGGACAATGAAGATCTCCTCTATAGTACACAGTTTGTAAGTGACCTTTATGACCTCCATCTCCTCATTTCCCTGCTCTTACATAAAAACCTTACCTTTGTGTAGGTTATACCTGCAAATCACTCCTAACCAACAGAATATAGCAAAAGTGGGAGAATGTCCATGATTACACCCACACGCATTTATTACATCCTAATTTGCTGGGACCCTGTCTCCCTTGCTTGTTTTAAAGAAGTAAGCTGTCAAGTAATCCTCTATATAGAGAGGAAAGCTCCATGTAACAAGGAAGTGATGGTAGCTTCTGGCCAACAACCAAAAAGGAGCTGAGTCCCTCAGTGTGGCAGCTTGCAAGGAATTGAATTGTCTCAAGCATATGAGTATGGGAGTGATTCCTTTCCAGCTGAGTCTCAGATAAGACTGCATCCCCAGATGACATCTCTTTATAGCCTTGCAGAGGATAGAGCTAAGGCATGGCCAGAAACTTAATGCACAGAAACTGTGAACTAATCAATGTTTGTATTTTGGAAATATTGTTATGACACAGTAGAAAACTAATAGACCCTCAGGGTTGATAGATGGAGTCTTGATAGCCCTGACATGTGATAGGAGTAGATGTGCAAGATAGACTAGGATGAGAGTGATACTTGGCAAGTGGAGAAGCACTTGCAGGTGCAATAGCTCAAGCTTTTCAGAGGTTCAAAGAGCATTAATTATAAAAACAGTTGAGCTGTATCACTCTTGCTTAGTAATGCAGACGCATTGGAGAAAATGAAGTGCTAAGAATTAGAGGTCCAGTGGTCTGATGCATGCCAGACATCTTCTACAAATGAAGGGTGAATTATCACATCCCACACTTCCTACCACAGAGAAAGAGGGACAACACACCTGCTGGACTTCTTTGGGTTCTGAAGGCATAATATTTACCTGAGAATATTTATGGCACACATTTCTTGAATAACACAGATGACTGTAAACTTTAAGTTGTGCCCAGAGCTTTGGAGTAAATAGTACTGCTTTTTGGTCCATATAACATATCAGAGCCCAGGAAATTACATGTATCAGTGGTGGGAAAGGATGCTGTAGAATGATGTGAAGATTCAATGGTTAAATCACAGAAGAGCCCCATGGTCCTGGAGAAAGGCCATGTGATCCTCAGGGGAAAAAAATCATATACTATTTGAAAAAATGACTTGGCATCTGGGCTCTGATAGAGATGGATCACCTCACCTTGAGATGTTGAGTTATATGGTAAGCAGCTAGGTTAGCCCAAAAGGAGCTGGGTTTTGTCAGACTCAACAGCTCATGAGATCCACTAGGCACAGCATCAATTCATAGCAAGATGTAGGTGATATGCCCATAATTGGGCACAAAAAGGGCCAGAATACAAGTAAACTACATGAGCATGTAGCTAGACTCCTGTGTCATCTACCACTATTACACTGATGCCTGTTACTAAGCTTAAATATATGGAGGATGATGGTATCCCTTATAATGAACTGGAGAAAAGAGGAAAAAGGTTGAGCTTAGATCATGCATAGGTTGACTTGGCAAGTAAGTACAAGCTAAAAATGGACTACTGCTATGCTATAATCTTGATAGATAATAATGAAGCAAAATCCTGCCACTGTTACAAACATTATGCAGTGTTGGAAGGTTGAGGATAGGGAAGTCTGCAAAAGAGCTATATGGATGGACATGTGAGATTAGGCCTGAAGGAATAGCGTTGAATCACATGATGAGACACACCAGAGAGCCTCCCACCTGGAAGAGACTGTAAACAGCCATGTGTTGGGATGATCCCACCAACTGATATCAGCCTGTTTTTATACACCCAATAGAAGTACAAAATGAACATGGATAGAATATACATGGACATGGAAGCTACACATGGTACCAAGGATGAATGTTATACATCAAACTTATAGGAAGGGCTTTCACTAATAGCGCTAATATAGCTACTGCCAGCAGAAAAGACCAATGCTAAGACCTTAAGACAGCAAGATCCCCTGAGGAGACCAACCAGCCACTTCCTGGAAAGTTAGCTGGTTACCTCTCACTCTAGAAGAGTCGGTGATTCAAACTGGGCTGAAATTAAAACATAACCTGGCAAGAGTTTGCCTTCTCTGCTCACAGGATAGTCATTGGTTTGCCCCATTATCTGAAGACTTATGCAGATATTGCATCCTGGAAAACATTGTCTCAGAGGCCTCTGGGTAGTCTATGGTGTGTGCCAGTGGACATGTGTCTGTGGTAGGCTGAAGGATGGCCCCTCAGAGATTCTTGTGTTATAGTATTCAGAACCTGTGACTATGTTATCTTACATGGCCAGAGATTACAGGTGTAATTAAGTTAGGAGCCTCAGGTGATAAGAGTAGCCTGGATTATCCAGGTGGGCCCAGTGTAATCATAAGAATTCTTATAAGAGAGAGGCAAGGGGGTGAGAGTGAGAGAAGGCAGTTAGTCTAAGAAAAATTGATAAAGGTGTGACCCAGCTATACTGCTAACTTTTCTTTTCTTTTTTTTTTTTTTTTTTTTTTTTTTTTTTGATAGGCAGAGTGGACAGTGAGAGAGAGAAAAAGAGAGAAAGGTCTTCTTTTATCGTTGGTTCACCCTCCAATGGCCGCCACGGCTGGCGCACCGCGCTGATCCAAAGCCAGGAGCCAAGTGCTTCTCCTGGTCTTCCATACGGGTGCAGGGCCCAGGCACATGGGCCATCCTCCACTGTGCTCCTGGGCGACAGCAGAGAGCTGGTCTGGAAGAGGGGCAACCGGGACAGAATCTGGTGTGCCAGCGCTGCAGGCAGAGGATGCGACACCAGCACTGCTAGCTTTGAAGATTGAAGAGGGTCCAGGAGCCAGGAAATGCATTTGGCCTCTAGGATCTGGAAAAGGCAAGGAAATTAATTCTCTCTTAGAGCCCCTAAAAGAAATGTAGCCCAGATACAACCTTCATTTTAGCACTCTGACCACCAGAAACATAAGGCAATAAGTTGGATTTTAGCCCAGGATTTGTTACAGACTCAGTAGGAAACTAACAAAATGTCTGTTGGATCCACTTATCCTATCACATAAAATGCCACCCAGAACCCTCTGTTGATGGAAAAATGCCATGTTCTTTTGAAGGTGCAATTGGAATATAGGTGCACATAGTACTCTTGAAATGAACAACTGTTATATTATACTCTATGCCTAGTAGAATATGAGTTCAAGAACCTTAAATGGAAGTAGCAGTGGTCCCATTCCCTGCTACTCCTTCAAGAATTTGTCTTCTATCCTATTCAGGCTCCTTGTTCCCAAAGGTATAATACTTCCAAAGGACCCAATAAGAAGCCCATTGGAGTTTAAATTATAATTGCTTTCAGTCTCTTCGAGATCCTCAGTTCAAGAGATCAGCAAAGGACTCCCAATACTGGCAGGTGTAACTGACCCCTATTATCAGTGTTAGGTGGACTACTGTTATTTACAGAAGCAGAGAAAATATGTGTGGTAGTTAAATGATCCATGGCTATATATCTTGGTTTAACTCAGATGTTAAATGGACAAGCACAGTCCCTGTGACCTAAAAAGGACATGGTGACCAGGGGCTCTTATCTCTGACTTGAAGGTGTAGGTGATGCCACTATGTAGGTCACCTGAACTAGCAAAGGTTCAAGGTGCGTGATCTGGTACAGGTGTGGAAGACAGGCATGATGAGTTTCAGATGTAACAGTAAAAACAGCTGTAGCAACAAGGGTTCTATTCTCTTTTAGGTTTCTACAAGAGGGGAAAAAAGAACTACCCAGAATCCCATCCATGAGGTAAGCTCTCTGGAGAAGCAAGTGCATCTGCACAGTGCTAGGGGTGGACTATGATGGATGTGCACTGCATTGCCCAGAGTGTCCATCAGCATTGAATCTTTTATTTCCCAGCTGTCAAGATTGTTGGTGATAGTGGCTCACAGCTGAGCCCCTCTCTGAGAATCATCCTCAGCTGACAGTTGCTGCCTGTCCCGTGGTTTATGTCACCTCCCTTAGGTGCAAGCAATCTTCTGATAATTCAACAGTGCAGAGTTACAAAGGCCCATTCTGGTTGCATTAATTTGGTGACAACTCTAAAGACCATCCCAACTCCACATTCCCTGTGGGTTTGGCTTGTGCTTTTTTAATTGATCCTCAGATGGATTTCTTCCTCTCCCTAACCCTGCTTCCCTGGCTTCCTAAGCAGTTTTGCTGTGAAGTATACTCCCTAATAATTTTACCAGATTTCTTTTGCAGAGATGGGGAGTTTCCTGGGGAACTTAAGCTAAAACATTACTGTGATTACAAGACGAAATTTGCCCTTCCATTTGCTTAAAATATTGATGTTATTCATGACATGCCATATTTCAAATTTCCTCTTGAAAATTTTATTAAGTACTTAGAAAAAACATTGATTTCCCTAAAATCTGTCCTTTTCTTTTTTATAATGATCTAGTACATCATTGCATGATGGGCTTTACATTTGGCTATTGAAAAAAAATGGTAAATTTAGGATTTGTTGTGGTACTTTCCTACTCAAGTTCTGAAAAATGATAGGTATCATTTTTATATAAAACGAAAGCAAAAATATTATTTTCATTACAATAGTGGTAAATGGGAGGACAGAGCTTCATACAAGGCAAAGCAGCACTCTCCTCTGAACTCAAGTCACCAGCAATTTTATCCAGCCCCTGGCAGTGGGGCTGGTGGGCAGTTATTCCCATGCAACAGAGAGGAGAGTGTACTCTGGAGGTACCGAACTCCTAGTGGTATAAGAAGAGGAAGATCTTCGCCTACAGGTGTCTGATTTATCCTTCCCAACTCGACAATGAATGGTGAAATAATTTACTACACCTTTCATTGATCTTCTGTCATCATTGTTCCCCAGATGGAAGGGTCGGAGATGAGTGTCATGAAACAAGGTTGGGTTCAGCATGACCTATTGAAAGGCTACCCCTAAGGCGGTCAGCACAGAGAAGAAAGGGCCCTTTCAGAGGTCTGATGCACAGAAAAAAAATCCAATGTGGAGGCAATGGAAATGGAGGATGACCCCAGATTTGGGGAGAATAATGGAATCACTGAGATGAGGAACCCGTGAAAAGAAGGTGATTACAGGACGGGAGGTAAAAATTGCTACTTTCTTCTCATTTCCTGGCCTGAGAACAATTTGAGAAATGTATTTATATAATATTATCACTCTCCTACTGACACACATGCCTCTGCCACTGATCTTAGCTCACTTTAACCTATTCTCCACACTGATTTTTTTAAAAAATATTTTATTTATTTGTTTGAGAGGTAGAGTTACTTAGAGAAGGAGAAGCAGAGAGAAAGGTCTTCCATCTGCTGGTTCATTACCAGATGGCTGCAACAGCCAGAGCTGGGCTGATCTGAAGCCAGAAACTTCGAGCTTCTTCCATGTCTCCCACACAGGTGCAGGGGCCCAAGGACTTGGGCCACCTTTTACCGCTTTCCTAGGCCATAGTGGAAAGCTTGATCGGAAGAGGAACAGCCAGGACTAGAACTGGTGCCTCTATGAGATGCCGATGCCACAGGCAAAGGCTTAGCCCACTAAACCATAGCACCAGCCCCTACAATGATCTTTTAGATCATCACATAGGCAGTGAAACATTTTGTCAATAAGAGGAATGAAATACTGATGCATGCTACAATACAGGTGAACCTAGAAAATACATGATGCTAAGTTAAAGAAATCAGACACAAAAAGTCACCTATTTTATGGTTCTCTTTATGTCAGACATCCAGAGCAGAAAAACACCCTGAATCAGACCACAGACTAGTGGTTCCTGTGGCTAGAGGGAGAGGAGGATGAAGAGTGAGTGCTTAACTGGTATGATATTTGGTGGTGGTGATGGGATGGTAGTAATGAAATATTCCTGAATTACTATGAACAGTTACACAACTGTGTGAAAACACCAAAACCCACCAAATTGCACACTTCAAAAGATGAATTTTATGGTATATGAAGTATATCTCCATAAATCTAATTTTTAAAATCAGCTTAAAATCCTTCCATAAGGCTGTATGAGTCAACGTAGTTAAACCTGTGGGCTGCTTATCCATTGCCCCTGTACTTAGTTCACAACACTTCCTGCCCCAGGGGCTGGCTCATGCATGGGCTTGCATCACAAGCGCTTCCTTGAGGGTGAACTCTGGTAGGGTTTAGCCAATGGTGATGGCATCTCAGGAGATGGAAGGCAGGGCAGAGGTAGATCAGGGTATTTCGTTTCAGCTCTTCTGTCTGGCAATGCTAATTCATGACTAGAGCTCTGGCTGGGCAGCTCCTCTTTTTGGACTCAGCTATCAAGATTCTGAGAACTATTTGTTCTTTCTGCTCACTCAGTCCTTGCAAGGGGAGGGTAACAGCTTCCTGCCTCCCAAGTTTCTTCCATTGTTCCATCCACATCTCTGAAAGGAGTCCATTCATTACATCTTCATCTGAACCAACTAGGGCAATTTGTTTCCTGGCAGAATTCCAACTGATACAACCCAAATCTCAGAGACTTAATACAAGATTACATATTGCATATGTCAGTCTGGTATATGTCGGTGAGTTCTTGTTCCTTGATACATGCCATCTGGAGTATGTAACCTCCAACATGAGATGGAGGAAGGGTGCATTGAAGATTGCATGTAGTGCCCACCATAGCAGAACTCGCAGACATGACACCTTTGCCAAATCCCCTGGATCAAAGGTCTGTATGACACAGACCACTCACTGGGGCTGTAGCGATGGGGAGGGCACCAGGACTTTAATCGATGACAGGAGGTTGTTAGGGTTAAGGAGGTGCTCAAGGACCTGGGAGAAAACTTGACACAAATAACCACTCAGTGGCAACCCTTGCCACCTCTCCAACGGAGACCCAACCCACCTCACCTCCCGCGCCCTGACTGACTTTCATATATCTCTTTTGATTACCAGCTCCTAAATGCTTCCAATAACTCTCTGGCTGATGGTTGCTGGATTTGTTCCACCCTGTTACCTTCCTTTACAGCTATTGAAGTCCTGACAAATTCTACTCCAGGACCCACTGACGAGACAAGTTCTCCCTTATTAATTTCCCTCACCCAAAAAACCTCCACCAGTGCTTCAATCTAACCTCATCATTATCTCCTGACCCACTATCCTCCAAACCTTTTTTCAACTCCACTCTCTGTAATTCCATGACCCCTATGAAATTAGAAGATTGCTTACCTGGAGGTCACTTCCTTCAGTGTGGGAGTTCCCTATTCCGCTCTCTACCGCCTAATGCAACTGGTATCTGTATTCCTGTAATTGTCCTCCCAGAGGTCTGTGTGGTGCCCCAAAACCAGTCTCTCTCAATACTGGTACTGTAAAACGCCTGTGCTAAAAGGGACATAATTATCCTTCCCTTTCTAGCAGCACTAGGTGTTCTTACGGGAATGGGGACAGGAGTAGCTAGCCTGGCATATGGTACTACCCAGATACAACAGCTGGCAAACACCTTGAATACAGAGCTACAAAATGTTGCAGCCTCCATTATAAAACTGCAAGACCAGATTGACTCCCTGGCTGATGTGACCCTTCAAAACAGAAGGGCATTAGAGTTCTTACCAGCAGAAAAAGGGGGAACATGCATATTTCTGGGGGAACAGTGCTGCTTTTTTACTAACAAATCTGGAGTGGTCAGAAGCATGACACAACAACTTAAGGAACCTATGGCCAAATGACAACAGGAGTATCAGAGACAGTATGGATGGACTCTATTATCCTCTTTTCTCCCTTGGCTACTCCCAACCCTGGGATGCATAACTGTATGGATAATTGTAATGATTGCTCCTTGTGCTCTCAGGCTCATAAAAGATCGAATCCAGGAAGCCTCCAGAGTAGCGGTCAACCAGATGCTTCTCCATCCATACATGCCTGTCCCTGCGGAGCCCCAAGATACCCCCAGCGGCCCCTGTAGACGACATCCCCAATCAGCAGGAAGTAACCAGAGAGACTCATCATCACCCCTTTTCCTATCATCAAGAGATCGGGATGGTAGCTTCGGGATCTGCAGGAGAGAAGGCCCACACTCCCGGGAATGGAGAGTCTCTACCGGCAATTCCTGGATTGAAAAGTCCTTGCCAAGGTCCCTGCATGTGCCTAAAGGTCAACCAGTGAGGATCAGACATGCCTCAACCTTTAACCCCCATGCCCTGTATCTATAAAAGGAGCCCTCCTAACCTCTGATGCACGACTTCCCAGGGCCTGCTGTTGGGACCAGGGAACCTCGCCCGGGAGCAGAATCCCAATAAAAGCCTGTAAATTGAGAAAAAAAAAAAAAAGAAAGAAAGAAAAGAAGATTGCATGTAGTATTTTATGTAGAGCCAGGAATGGACGTGGCTTCTGTCACTCTACCCTTATTCCTTGGCAAGAACAAGTCATAGGGCCGAAGCTAACTATACAAGGATCAAGTAGGGAGATGGGAACATATGACATTAACTCTGGTGATGAAATTACCTTCAAATTTTAGTGAACTCCTTCATAAGGCAAGAGAGACATCACCCTCTGGCCCCAGCCTACTTAGCTATCTGTCTTTATAGCTGTAGTACCTCAAGGCCTGTCTGGGCTGTTTTGGTTGAGTTTCCATACTCCCTTTTTTCCACCTGGCTGAAGCCTCTATTTACTTCAAAACTCAAGGAGTGGACATGTGGCTTAGCAGTTAACCTGCCACTTGAGATGCCCATGTCCCAGACTGGAGTACTTAGATTTGAGTCCTGTCTCTACTTCTGATTCCAGTTTCCTGCTAATGCAGAGCCTGGGAAGCAGCAGTTGTGGCTCAAGTGGTTGCATTCTTGCCACCTATGTGGGAGATCTGGATTGGGTTCTTGGCTCTAATTTCAACCTAACCTCAATCTGCCCTAACCCCAGCTATTGTGGGCATTTGAGAAGTAAACCAATGGATGGGAGTGTGCTTATTCTCTTGCTTACTCTCTCATTTGCTGTTGCTGTTGCAAAATAATTTTAAAACAAAACCTCAATCAACTCCTCCAGGAAACATCCTTCCTAAGGCTGATTAACTACTGGTTCTGTTCTACTATATTCCCAAAAAACATCTCTGTCATAATATTTATCATGTTGTATTACTTTTTTCATCTTTCAGAATGTTCTTTTAAAGCCATAGGCTATATTACATTTCTACCTTTCTCAGTATCTATTACCATAATCACTATCTAAATAATCATTGCAATCAATGCCGCCTTTTAGAGAGCATTTGGGAAGTTTTCATATAAGTGTTGGGTTGTCTCAATAATTGGGAAATACTACATTCAGGGTAGGGGCTGTAGATGATTAACATCTTGCATTAAATAGGACAGTCCCTCATATGAACTGTCTCCTGTTCTGCAAGACTTAAATATATTCCACTGAATCTTCCAATAGATGAAAAACCTGTTTGTATTTGTCTAAAACTAGAACCTAGTTCAGTTTTACATATAAATGTTGTTTCAGTTGTCTATTGGTATGCAATAAAACAGCCCAAAACTTGAAGGCTTAAAACAACTCAAGTTTACTATCCCAAGATCCTGTGGGATGACTGACTCAGTGGGGCTGTTCTTTCCACGTGAGGTTGACTGGCACTGCATTAGCTAGGGCTTCCAGTGGCTCACACAGGTGGGTGATCCTGGGGTCTGGAGACACCAGCAGAAGCACTTTGGACTTCTTCATGAGGGCTTTTCACATTGCTTGAACTTCTCATATTGTAGTAGCTGGGTTCCAGGAGAGTGGCTAATGGTGCGACAATCCTCATTAGGAGTGGGCTCAGAAGTTCCAGAGCAGCATTCAGCAGCTTTCTGTTGATCAAGGCTAAATCAAGGCAGGTTCTCAACTTTCAGGTAGGAACATGTAAACTCTGCTTCTTGATTTTAGAGGGAGCCTCTTATTCACATAAAAGAAGGTTTGGTTTTTTTTTTTAACTTCTTTTTTTTTAACTTTTATTTAATGAATACAAATTTCCAAAGTACAGCTTATGGAGTACAATGGCCTCCCCCGAATAACTTCCCTCCCACCTGCAACCCTCCCCTCTCCCGCTCCCTCTTCCCCTCCATTCACATCAAGATTCATTTTCAATTCTCTTTATATACAGAAGATCGGTTAGCATATATTAAGCAAAGATTTCAACAGTCTGCACCCACACAGAAACACAAAGTGAAAAATACTGTTTGAGTACTAGTCATAGCACTAAATCACACTGTACAGCACATCAAGGACAGAGATCCCACATGAGGAGTAAGTGCACAGTGACTCCTGTTGTTGACAACAATTTGACACTTTTGTTTATGGTGTCAGTAATCTCCCTAGGCTCTAGTCATGAGTTGCCAAGGCTATGGAAGCCTCTTTAACTATACATAGATTATATTTTATTAATTTAATATCAGGATAGTAACAGAATTGTTGCAAAAAGTTATAAGGAGGAGGCACAGTGCTAAGATTGTATAAAAAACACACAAATACCAATCAATCTATGCAAATTGAACTAAGAATACACTGGCTTTCCTGTTGATTCTATGTTTATATCCTCCTTGACCTTAATTTTCTACTTTGATTTATATTTTACTATTTCCAAATATGTGCTCAAAACCTAAATCAATGCAAATCTCCAAGCAATAACAAGCAGAGTAAATAGGAAATAACTAGCTCTCTGTTTTTCCCAATTACTAAAATGTGTAATTCCTATAGAATAGATAGTATTTATCTTTTTTTTTTTTTTTTTTGACAGGCAGAGTGGACAGTGAGAGAGAGACAGGGATAAAGGTCTTCCTTCTGTTGGTTCACCCTCCAATGGCCGCTGCTGCTGGTGCGCTGTGGCTGGCACACCAAGCTGCTCCAAAGCCTGGAGCCAGGTGCTTCTCCTGGTCTCCCATGGGGTGCAGGGCCCAAGCACTTGGGCCATCCTCCACTGCCTTCCCTGGCCACAGCAGAGAGCTGGCCTGGAAGAGGGGCAACCGGGATAGAACCAGCGCCCCGACTGGGACTAGAACCTGGTGTGCTGGCGCCGCAGGCGGAGGATTAGCCTATTGAGCCGCGGTGCCAGCCAATAGTATTTATCTTTAAAATTTATTTTTCTGCCAGTAAAATAGTTTTGTATTTTCTAGTTTGAATTGGATTAATAATCTTTAGATATGTTTATTTATATACCTTAATATGGATAGTTCTCAATTATCATCTACATAATCTTTTTTTGGAATGAAACTGAAATTATACATAACTTTTTTAGATTTCTGACTTGCAAAGTGCTTCAGCTCACAATAAGATATTCTCAAGAGGGAAAAGTACCATTAGACCTTTTAGTGAAGCCAATCTGTACACAAATGTATTTCCCCATGACTTTCCTTAAAATATTAAATACTGTACATAGAATATATTTAGCATCTGAAGCTGCATTCTGTAGACCTGTAACTACTGATAGTCTATTCCTGTGACCTACTACTGATCATGCAAGTGTAGTATGTGAGTCTATATTCAAAGGTTTGTTTTTCAGCATTCCTTCATACCAAAATACATAAGTTGTTACCTGATTATTGAATCATCAAGATTTTTGCATGAAATGCTTTTGAAAGCAAGTTGACAAAAAAAACAGATAAATTTACTTATTGTCCTTTGCTGAGGGCTCTTAAAAATATTATTCTCCTGTTCTAGTAGATAGAGGCTACCCTCCTGGCGGGTAGACAAATATTGAGCATTGCTTCTGGTGAATAGACACGACATTCCTGTTCCAGTAGATAGATGCTATTCTCCTGGTCTGACTGGCAGAAATCTGCCCCCTGGTCTGATAGAGAGGCAAGATCTCAAACTAAAAGTCTTATAAATCATTCAGCATCTACTCAGGAAACAAATAATCTCCGTTACCACTGATGTAAGGCATGAATGGCCCCTGAGAAGTATGTTATGGAAAGGATGTACGAGACGTAATTCCTTAACTACTGTTGCTACAATAAGCTCCAGTAAACATTCTCTATTTCCCTTCTTAATCTATTTTGAGGAGGGCAAGAGAAATCTAGCTTCACATCAAGCTTCATCCACATGATTTGTAAAACTTATCACTGGTGTGAAGGTCTCCTGAATATTTGACCACCAAGAAAATCCCCCTAAGCCAACCACTCTGTTGACTCCAGTTTTAGTGTGGGAAACTGGGTCAACCTCAATTCTAGTGTGGCAAGAGAAAAGTCACTTTTACCTTAAAAGTGAAAATACTCACTGATTTAACCATTAATATTCAAAACACTGGCAACACTAAATACCAAAGGTAATTACAGATTTTTTTAACATAATCTTCTTTGTCACCTTTTTTTCTTACTGAAATCAGTCTTTCCTTAACAAGTTAAAAAATCTGCTTAACTTTTTACCAAGGAAAATATAACAAGAAAACTAGGTCATAGTAAGTTCTAGAAGTCAACCCTCTTATATTGTTTGTAATATAGGTGAGGTGCATGGTGTAAGTGATTAATATCTTATTAGCTGACATTCTTTATCCTTACTTCAAAGCAATATAAACTTTCTAGAAATGAACATTGGTGTCTCTAAGCCTTCTAAAAATTGTGTCTCCCGAAGATGTTCACAGAATAGAATGGAAGATTAAATTATATTGATAAACAGAAGCATTGTTTCAAAGAATGTGCATGCACATGTGTGCATGTAGATGCATGTACATACTTGTGGGTGTTTTGGCATGTGTGAGTGAATATAAAATATCTGCCTCCAACAATCTATTTTCTAGCTGCCATCACAGAACTGAAAGACTACCTCTAAATGTCTTTCTTTACCCTGACATAAAATAGTACCAAAAAATCCTGTCCAAGAAAAGTACATCCCTCATTTCAGTGTTTAAAAATAACCTACTGGCCAGTAATACTGTGATTCTTTTTTTTTTTTTTTTTTTGAGAAAAGCCAGCATAAAGCACTTTATAGCAGTAATAAAACTCAAAACTCATATGTAATGCTGGGGGCAGCAAGTATCTTTTGCCAAATCACTACACAGGACAGAGAATCAGATCAGCACAGAGAGCCAAGCATCAAACACTGGGAGATGCAGAAGCTGCAGTGATATGACTAGCATAATCACTTTCTCAAGAAAACACTCAAAGATGTGTCATGATGCCTGGGCTTTTCTTGGGTGAAGATCTACAAATGGCTCCTTCAATTTAAACTTTTAATTCAAATTTCTTAAAATTTAAAAAGTGTTGGAATTTGGATAGTTAAGAGACTATAAAAGTTCTGAAAATCTACTAGAGAAATCACAGGATGGGGAAAAAAAATAAGCTAGGTCACAAAGAAGGCTTCAGTGGTCCCTGCTGCCCAGGGAAGGTACCTGTAGTGTCTAGCATTACAGTGAAGTGATTTGGTACAAGAGACAGAGGTTTTCTTGGAGGCTGGGCTGGGGCTGTGGAGGCAAAGGCCATCCCTAGTTCATCCTGGGCAGGGCTGTTATCCATCCCTAGGCCTCTCTCTGATTGGAGAATAATTCAGCCCTCATCAGCATCTCACATCTGCTGTAGCTTTTCAGTGCAGCAAGACTGCTTAATACATAATAGATGCAAATTTCATCCAAAAAATAGATTCTTACAAACCCCATCCACCCAACACTAACTCCTATTCTAAAGGTATCCAATCACTTCTGCTGCTGATACCTGAACACATCTTAACTGGAAGCCTAGATCCAAGACTGGAACAGAATCTTCACTCCAAAATAAGAAAAACATAAAATGAGTCACTTGTTTACGGAGTGTCATTTAGGCGAACACACATGCAAGCAGGGAAAGAGGAAATGGGGCTGTGAGAGGCAAAGCTGAATGACAGAACACAGTCTGGCAGATGTTTGTACGGAGTTTGCTATGGAATCACAGCAAAGCTCTGGATGGATTTGTGTGCACGTGTCTGGAGTACCAGACCCCCTCCATGGCAGATCCAAGACCAGGGAGCTAAGGGAGGAGGCCATTCCTGTCACTCCAGTTTTAGAAGCTCAACATCAAAACCCATAGTGCCAGGTGGTGGGTTGATGCCCAGTAGTACCATAGGCATAGCCTGGGGTGATGGTCAGTTTGGCTGGCTGAGCCACACTCACCTGGGTCAACTCTTCTTCCCAGCTTTGGATCATCACCTGCTTGGCCAGCATATACTTAAAGGACTTGTTTCCGTCTTGAGAGGAATTAAATTTCTTTGTATTTTTGAGTATGCTGGTTTAGTGCACCACGCAGGTCTGGCTGTGCTTGTCTCCTAGGGGAGACACTACCTTGGTGGCGGTGGGTGGCAAGATGAGCAGTGTGGACAAGAGCAGACTTATAGCAGCTCTGTTCTTCCAGTAATGTTACAATTCTAACATTCAAAATACTTGTGGAGTTTTAGCTTATTGAAGTAATTGTTTTTCTGTAAATTGCACAGATCTGATCAATATTGAATAAACTATTCAAAGTATCAAAATCTCACTGTAATGATTCTGTCTTTTGAGTGACTGATGATAGAGCTGACTTGCCATAGACTCCTACAGAAATCGTGTGCTAAGTCATGTGAATTTATCACCACATGTAGTTATAATGTCCTATTGTTAAAGTCAGAGAACTTTTGGGGCTATTGTACAGTTTAATTTATTTGACCCCCATTGATATAAGGAGTCTCCGAAAGTTCATGGAAGGAGTTGGCGTTGTGGTACAGTGGGTTAAGTCACCTGTTGCAATCCCGGCATCCCATATTGCAGCACTGATTTGATCCAGATTTGCATCCCTGTTTATGTGCTGGAATAGTAGCTGAAACTTTCCTGGGTACTTAGGTCCCTAGCACCAATGTGGGAGAACTAGATGGAGTTCCAGGCTCCTGGCATTGCCCCAGGCATTCTGGCCACTTGGAGGAGTGAACCAGTAGATGGAAGATCTCTTTATTTGTCTCCCCTTCTCTTTCTCTTTCACTCTGCCATTCAATTTTTTTAAAGTTCATAAAAGTGCTTTTTTACTAAAAATCTTTATATAAATATCAAAATTTTTTGCACCAAAATAAAATTATCTTAAAATTCCATTTTCCATGAACTTATTTTTTATTTCTTTATTCAAGAGGCGGAGAGAGAAGGTAAGGGAGATAGACAGAGCTCCCCTCTGCTGACTCATTCTCTGATTGCCCAATGTATACACCAAATCCAGGAGTTGGGAACTCAACTTGGATCTCCTATGTGGGTGTCAGGGACCTAACTGCCTGAGTCATCACCTGTTGTCTTTCAGGTTATGTCCATTTTGTTGCAAATGGCAGAATTTCTTTTTTTTTTTTTACTATTGTGTAGTATTCCATGGTATATACATCCCATAATTTCTTTATCCAGTCTTAGTTGATGGACATTTGTCTTAATTCCAGATTTTAGCTATTGTGGTACTGATTTCATTTTCCTTGGGTAGATTCCCAGGAGTGGGATGGCTGGGTCATATGGTCGGTCTATATTCAGATTTCTGAGGTATCTCCATATTGTCTTCCACAGTGGCTGTACAAGTTTAAATCCCCACCAACAGTGGATTGGGGTATCTTTTCCCCCACACCCTCACCAGCTTCTATTGTTTTTTGATTTTTGTGTGAAAGCTATCCTAACGGGGGTGAGGTGAAATCTCATTGTGGATTTGATTTGTGTTTACCTGATGTCTAGTGATCCTGAACACTTTTTCATGTGTCTGTTGGATATTTGGATTTCCTCTTTTGAAAAATTCCTGTAGAAGTCCTTTTTCCATTTATTAACTGGGTTGTTTGTTTTGTTGTTGTTGCATTTCATGAGCTCTTTATATATTTTGGATGCTAATCTTTTATCAAAGTTGCGTAGTTTGCAAGTAATTTCTCCCATTCTATCAGTTGCCTCTTCACTTTGCTGAGTGTTCCTTTTGCAGTGCAGAAGCTCCTCAGCTTGATGTCATCCCATTTGTCAATTTGGGCTTTGATTGCCTGTGCTTCTAGGGTCTTTCCAAGAAGTCTTTGCCTATGCCAATGTATTGCAGGGTTTCCCCAATGTTTTCTAATAATTTGATGTTATTGCATTGTTGATTTTGATCTTTAATCCATTTTCAGTAGATTTTTGTGTAGTAAGGTGTAGGATAGGGGTCTCGCTTCATACTTCTGCATGTGGAGATCCAGTTTTCCCAGCACCATTTGTTGAAGAGACTGTTTTTGCTCCAGAGATTGATTTTAGCTCCTTTCTCAAAGGTAAATTGTTTGTAGATGCATGGGTTGGCACCTATAATTTCTACAAGGTTATTCTCTTAAGTCTATTTACCAGACTGATTAAATAATAATCAAATGATCAAAACTAGCATTGAGAACCCAGAAAACCCTGTGTCTTTCAGAAGTTGGCTTATGAAATTATTTAGGCTATTTAATAGTTTGCAAACAAAAAGCACTAATTTGGAGACGGAGAAGCCTGACTTCAAAACCTATTTTTACCGTTTACTAGTTCTGTAATCTGTATCCATACTTAACTTCTCTGTGCCCCAATTAAGTCAGTCATGAAATGCAAAGAATGACCTTTGATTTCCAGGGTTGTTATAAGAATAACAGAATAATCCTGTATATAATAGATTCATAACATTTTATCATTCTTTAAAATAAAGCCATGGAACAGTATCTATATGGATAAAGGAAAACTGATTAATGTGGAAAACAAAATTGCTTCATGCTTTAACAGTTTCTTCCCATAATATATTAACTTTCTTTTAAAAAAATAGTGGCTGCTAAGTTTCATGTCAATTGAGATAAACAACCTCAAGTTAATTTACAATAAGTTGTCACTTTATAAGCCACTTCTCTTTTTTGTTTCCTCTTTAATTAATAGTGCTCCAAATGTTGTCTCAATCTTCCTTTCTTCCTTCTCACTTTGCAACTGTGTGATTCAAAATAAATAAATAGACTTTTAAAAAAGACATATATGTCCTAAATAGCACTCTGGCCTCAGAATCAGCCCTAAAGGCATTCGGAGCTGGCTGAAAAGCTCATGAGAGTATTTCAGGCATGGAAAGCCAAGACACTCTGGCAAAAGATCTCTGTGAGTGAGATCTCAGTGGAAAGAACAGGTCTTCAAAGAAGGAGGTACCTTTCTCTGAAGGGAGGAGAGAACCTCCACTTTGACTATGACCTTGTCTAAACAAGATAAGAGTCGGAGAACTCAGAGGGCTTCCATAGCCTTGGAAACTCATGACTGGAGCATAGGGAGATTACTGATGCCATAGACAGGAGTGTCAATTGGTAAAGTCAACAACAGGAGTCACTGTGCACTTACTCCTCATGTAGGATCTCTATCCTTAATGTGCTGTACATTGAGATTTAATGCTATAACGAGTACTCAAACAATATATTTCACTTTGTGTTTCTATGGGGGTGCAAACTGTTGAAATCCTTACTTAATGCATACTAAACTGATCCTCTGTAAAAAAAAAAAAAAAAAAAAAAAAAAAGAAAAGAAATTATCAATTCCCAACTTGACTCTCACTGGGATTAAACATGACAATAGGTCTGATCTGATTTCATCATCATTTAAAAAAAATCATCTATTATTTTTCACTTTATGTTTCTGTGTGGGAGCAAACTGTTGAAATCCATACTTAATGTATACTAAGCTGATCTTCTGTATATTAAGATAATCGAAAATGAATCTTGATGTGAATGGAAGGGGAGAGGGAGTGGGAAAGGGGAGGGTTGTGGGTGGGAGGCACGGTATGGGGGGGAAGCCATTGTAATCCATAAGTCGTACTTTAGAAAATTATATGCATTAAATAAAAGTAAAAAAAAAAAAAGACATATATGGAAAATGTATAGTATGCGGAAAACAGCTCTGCATGTACTCCAAAAATGTTTTTAAAGAATTTCACTTAGTCACAATGGCATCATTACATCTAAGAAACATAATAGTTTTATAATATTATTTAATATCCAGTCTAAAATCAAGTTCTCATAGTTGTCTCCTAGGACCTTCTGTACATGTCTATTTGAGTCTTTTGAATTTGATCATTCTTTTGTCTTTCTCTCTTTTTTTTTTTTAATATTTATTTATTTGTTTGAAAGTCAGAGTTACATAGAGAGATGGAGAGGCAGGTCTTCCAGTCTGTTGGTTCACTCCCCAGATGGCCACAGCAGCCAGGGATGAACCAGGCCAAAGCCAGGAGCTGAGAGCTTCTTCCACATTTTCCACAATGGTGGCAGGGGCCCAAATACTTGGGTCATCTTCCATTGTTTTTCCTAGGCCATTAACAGAGCTGCATTGGATGTGGAGCAACTGGGACACAAAGCTGCACCGATATGGGATACAGGCAGCAACATTACTGGCTACACGGCAATGCTGGTCCCTCTTTTGTCTCTTTTAAACCAGAACATTCCTTGACCAACATTCTTTTTTCATATTACTGAGTGTTGGAAGAGTCCAGGCTGGTTGTCTTATCTACTGTGTCCAATATCTTTATTGTTTCCACTATGTTGCTTAATCTATTCTATTCTCTACTTTTCATATAGACTGAAATTTAGGTCTAGACTCATTAAATTCAGGTTAATCACAGGTAATGTTTTGACTCCATATGTTATTAGGAGATAAATAATGTCAGGTTGTCCCATTACTTGTGATACTAAGTGTGATCACTAAGCTTGGATAGGAACTGTCAGATCTCCACATGGTAAAGTTGCATTTTATCCTTTGGAAATAATAACCTCAGAAGTAATACTTAGGCACTGTGTGGTTTATCTTGTTCTCCAAACACCTTCTACTTGATGACTTTCTAATTATATCATGCTAAAAAGAAATTTTTAGTAACTGTTTTGTGTTTTAAATACTTGCATAAGGGTGCTAGAGTTTTGGTATATATGAATGAATAAATTTTTTTGACAGCCAGAGTAGACAGTGAGAGAGAGACAGAGAGAAAGGTCTTCCTTTTGCCATTGGTTCACCCTCCAATGGCCGCCGCGACCCGTGCCCTGTGGCCAGCGCACTGCGCTGATCCGAAGGCAGGATCCAGGTGCTTCTCCTGGTCTCCCATGCGGGTGCTAGGGCCCAAGCACTTGGGCCATCCTCCACTGCACTCCCGGCCACAGCAGAGAGCTGGCCTGGAAGAGGGGCAACCAGGACAGAATCCGGCGCCCCGACTGGGACTAGAACCCCGTGTGCCGGCACCGCTAGGTGGAGGATTAGCCTATTGAGCCATGGCGCCAGCTATGAATGAATAAATTTTAATTATAATTTACTATTATTATTCTATAGGTAGTTTGACCTAGAAACAATATTCTTTATGTCGCTCCCCCTCTCCATGGAGGAACGACACTAAACCCTGCCTAGGCTTCATATCCGAGTCACGGCACCATTATGTCGCTCCCCGTCTTCGTGGAGGAACGACACAGGACCCTGCGCTGTTCTTTCGTCTGCTCGGCCCTCCCCGGGTTTGCTGCTGGTTCTTCCCGGGTTGGCTGCTGGTCCTTCCCGGGTTGGCTGCTGGTCCTTCCCGGGTTGGCTACCGTCCCTTCCACCTCCGTGGAAGGGCAGTTCCCCCTGCCACATTCCCCACTTCCACGGGGGAGCGGCACACCGCCGGCCGGCTCCCTCGGGGGCTACACAGGTGTTCCCCTTAGATGTTCCCCTTAGATGTTCCTGGTGCATGTTGTCTCTCTCCTCCTTTATAAAGGTCCTCCTCCGCCAATCCCAACTCGGCTGCCCACACGCCGAGTACGCTGCTCTCCTCCAATCAGGAGCAGGATCAGCTCCTGGAGGTCATCACTCAAGTTGGCAAGAGGCAGCTGTGTAGAAGCTGTTGCCTCCTCTCCCAGCGCCATATTATGGGAGAGCAGATGCATAGAATAAGTCTTAATTCCAGTAACTCAGTCCAGTCTGGGTTGCTCCCCACACTTTATTACAGTGTTATGATATGAATTGTGTCCTCCCACTAACTCATATATTGAAGCCCTAACCCTCAATCGGGTTAATGCTATTTGGACTTAGAACCTTTGAGAGAGAACTGGAATTCAGATAAGATCATGAGGCTGGGGCCCTAATGGTGAAAATATTGGTGATTTTTTAAAAAGTCTGTTTTATTTGATAGAGAGCCAGAGACAGATCTTCCATCTGCTGATTTACTCCCCAAATTCCCGTAACAGCTGATGCTTGGTCAGATCAAATCCTGGAGATAGGAATTCAGTTTGTGTCACATGGATGGGAGGGATTTAAGTGCCTGAGCCATTATGGGCTGCCTACTGTGGTGCACAGTAGCAGAAAGCTGGAATAGAAAGCGTGGAAGTGTAGCAGGGACTTGTGTGGGATACAGGAATCCCTAGCAGCATCTTAACCATGGTGGCAAACATCTGCTCCAAGAATTGAGTGCTCTTACAAGAAGAGATAACAGAATGTGCTGTCTTTTTCTTTTTCTTTTCATTCTCTTTCCTTTTTTTTTTTTTTTTTTTTTTTTTTTTTTTTTTGACAGAGTGGATAGTGAGAGAGAGAGACAGAGAGAAAGGTCTTCCTTTTTGCCGTTAGTTCACCCTCCAATGGCCGCCACGGCTGGCGCGCTGTGGCCAGTGCAATGCGCTGATCCAAAGGCAGGAGCCAGGTGCTTCTCCTGGTCTCCCATGGGGTGCAGGGCCCAAGCACTTGGGCCATCCTCCACTGCCTTCCTGGGCCACAGCAGAGAGCTGGCCTGGAAGAGGGGCAACCGGGAAAGAATCTGGCGCTCCGACCAGGACTAGAACCCCGTGTGCCGGCACCGCTAGGTGGAGGATTAGCCTATTGAGCTGCGGCGCCGGCCTTTCCCTTTCTTTCTATCTGACCAATGTCTATATGGACATAGCATTTTTTAAAAGATTTATTTATTTTGAGAGGCAGACACACACACACACACACAGAGAGAGAGAGAGAGAGAGAATTTTTTTCAACTGCTGGTTCACTCCCCAAATGGCTACAACAGCTGGAGCTGGGCCAATCTGAAGCCAGGAGCCTGGAGCTTCTTCCATGTCTCCCATGCAGGTGTAGGGACCCAAGGACCTGGGCCATCCTCCACTGCTTTCCCAGGCCACAGCAGAAAGCTGGATCAGAAGTAGAGCAGCTGGGACTCCAACTGGTGCCCATATGGGATGCTGGCACTGCAGACAGTGGCTTTACCTGCTACACCACAGCACTGGCCCCTGTACATAGCTTAAGGTGGCCATCTGAAAACTAGCTGTGGGACCCTCACTGGAACCCTACCATGCTGGCACCCTGATCTCCAACTTCCAGCCTCCAGAACTGTGAGAAAATAAATTTCTGTGTTTGAAGCCATCCAAAATACAATATTTTGTTATGGCAGCCCAGGCTGATTAACACATATTGTGTTCTAAGTGGTAGAGAATGCACTACCCCATCTCTGCTTCTAAATTTATTGGATGTTGCTGAACGTTTTCTTAGGAAATATGACTACCTATTCTGAATTGTACAAACTGTCTGTTTAGTTGGTGCAGTACAGACAAGGAATTCACCTGGTTGCTTGGAGCTCAGTGGGGCTAGCCTTTCACTATAATGAAGAGTGAGCATCATTATAAATAAATAGTGAACTTTCTTCTCCAGGCTTTTATTCCTTACAGTTATTTTTTAAGAAAAGTTATTTATTTGAAAGAATTACAGCAAGAGAGGGAAAGACATAGAGAAGAGAGAGATCTACTAGCCACTGGTTCACTCCTCAAATGGCTGCAATGAATAGGGCTGGGCCAAGCAAAACCAGGAGCCGGGAGCTAGTTCCTGGTCTCCCACATGGGTGCAGGGGCCCAAGCACTTTGGGCCATCCTCCACTGCTTTCATGGGTACATCACCAGGGATCTGGATTGGTAATGGAGCATTGGGGACTTGAACTGGTGCTTATATGGTGTGCTGGGCTGCAGATGGTATCTTAACCTCCTATGTCACAGTGCCAGTCCACAATACATTTTTTTTTAAAGATTTATTTTATTTATTTGAAAGAGTTACAGAGAGTTGTAGAGACAGAGAGAGAGGTCTTCTATCCACTGGTTCACTCCCCAGATGGCTACAATGGCCAGAGCTGCGCCGATCCAAAGCCAAGAGCCAGGAGCTTCTTCCAGGTCTCACATGAGGGTACAGGGGCCCAAGGACTTGGGCCAGCTTCTACTGCTTTCAGAGGCCATAGCAGAGAGCTGCATTGGAAGAGGAGCAGCCAGGACTAGAACCGGTGCCCATATGGAATGCTGGTGCTTCAGGCCAGGGCTTTAACCTGCTGTGCCGTAGCGCCAGCCCCCACAATAAATTCTTAAAGGTGGGAAAACTTTGTTACAGTTACAAACCTCCCTAAGCCTTATGATTTGAATTGCTGGTTGGCATTCCAGAAAGACTACACTGAGTTCATTATGCTAGCTGTTTGTAAATGTTCACTTCAATACTATGCTCCTCAATGTTAATTTAATAATAACTATGATTAAAAATATTTTATGGATTATAGTAGGAAAGTATATTTCTTTGTTTACTATTTTTGCATTTTGATGTATTTAATTAATACACTGGTATTTTCATCAGTAAATTGTTATGGTCATGACATTGCAAATTTTGTTATGGCAATTTCATCATTTTCTTTTTAATGAATGCTCAATAACAATAAACCAGTTGGTGTTTTACTGTAAATTAGTTTTTACAGTTTGGCTTATGAAGAGGACTATTTTATTAGAGATAGCATGTTCC